CCAAACTTATAACTGCCTCAGGATCTTTGTACCTGCTGTGCTGCAACCCAAGGCCTGCAGGGTCAGGCCACTTCCCTCTTGACTGACATTCAGGTCTTAAGCAAAAGATCGGCTTCTGAGGCATCTTCCCAGACAGCTCTAAAGCCCCCAGCCCCTCTTTGTCATTGTCCACATGACATCTGTCAATCCATGCGATTATCTTGTGGATCTAACTGTGGCTTCTTTCCTCTGTCCTTCAATGGAAGCTCCTGGGGCAGAGGCTGTGAGCCCAGTGCCTAACACAATGCCTAACACACAATAGGTGCTTGGCAAACTCTTGGTGAATGAATGGTAAGATTTATTACAAGTGGGCAGAGGCTTTGGGGACCTGGAGCACCCCTAAGTGGACCTTGAGGCTGCTGGAAAATGGTAGTGAAGACCCACAGAGCTGAACTGAGAACCATATTCTGCTCTGATAGCTCTGTGTTCCTGGGCAAGTTTCTTGACCTCTCTGAGCTTAATCTTCATCAGAAAATGGGAGTAGGAACATCTGGCTAACTGGTCTGTCACCGCATTAAGGAGATAATTCAGGCTCCTGTAGGCAGGTTGTGTACCCAGCATTAAGAACTGCCTCCACACTTCAACAGAAGCTTGTTAAATGAATGATGGGCCCTGATGTAAGAACTTAATAAATATTAAAGGGTTTGGGAGACCATTGATGTCAAGTACACAATTATTCCCTGAAGCATTAAGAAAGAAAAAGATTAAATGTTGCCAACAAAGCCATGTCATTGCCTTTTTTGGGGGGCATAGGGGACTGGGATTTGAACTCAGGGCTTCAGGATTACAAAGCAGGTGTTCTACTGCTTGAACCACACCTCCAGCCCATTTTGCTCTGGTCATTATGGAGATGGGGTCTTCTAACTATTTAGAACCGTGATTCATTCTCCTGATCTCAGCCTCCCAACTAGCTAGGATTACAGAGGTGAGCCACCAGTGCCTGGTTCATGACATTGCGTTTATATCACCTGGAAATTCTGTTTTGTACTTTTCCAAAGATCTTTTCTAGGACTGAAACACAGATTTTTTATCATGGGCGACTACTGAGTTTATATTTTAAAAATCAAGGAGGGAACTGCGGATGTAGCCCAGCGGTGGAGCACTTGCCTAGCGTGCACGAGGCCTGGATTTGAGCCCTGGCACTGCAAAAAGAAAACAGAAACAAAAAATTTAAAAAGAAACAGTATCAGGGAAATCAATCCATTAAGATCTTCTAAAATTTCTTGTAAGTCAGAGACACCTCTTTGAATTGGTCCCTTTTGTGACTCACACCCTGTCCCCTACTTCCTCTCCTCCCTTGGGTGGGTGGGGGGGGGGAAGCGAGTGCTGTGGCCTGGCCTTACTGGGAAGAGTGGAGATCCAGGACCCACCTGCCTGTTGGGAGGGAGTTAGAAGGGGACCAGGAACCAGGGGAACTTGACCCAGAACCAGGCAGACTCAACATGCAGCCTCATGTCTGCTGGTCCGGTGGCCATTGTCAACTTTCTGCCCCACCCACCAACCAGGAATAGAATCTCAGCTCCCCTACATGCTAAGGTGGGGTTCGGGACCTCTTGCGGGCTCCCCTCATGGGCCAGGCTGAGCTAAGGTGAGGACAGCAGCTGCAGCTGGTTTCCCTGGGACCTGGGGGATGGGGGTTGGGAAGGAACACAGGATTTAGGGGCAGAGGCACCCATCAGGAGCCTTCTCTGGTGCTGTCGCTTCTAGGGTATGGGCTACCCGGCCTTGTGGAAGCAAAATAAGGGAGCAGAGGCTCCAGCGGAATAGAAACGAAATCAGGCCACCGCTACTTGGAGGAAACGCCTGGTTTCTTCTGAGACCCTGGAGTTCTTGGAAGATGACGAGACATGGCGCTTGCTTGTCAACGCTCCCTGCTCTTCTGGGGTTAGGAGCGCGTCACCCCGCTTCGGGAGGCCTAAAACTCAGGATCCGTGACCCGGGCGGTGCTTTTCTTCCACCTTGTAAATACGGCAATGACCCTTCAGGGGGATCCGGAACTGGGGAAGAGAGTATGCCAGAGTAACCTTAATTTTTTAAAAAGTGGGGCGCCAGGGCGAGTGATGGGGTGCATCGTTGCGCCTGTGCCCATGATGGTCCAGATGGTGCCAAGGCACGGTATGGGGTCAAGCCACTGGGCCGAGACCGCTGATCACCCAGGTCCGCCGCGATCCGCCCCCAAAGCTTTGCTTTCCCAGCAACCCCAGGACCTTGCCTTGCCTTTTTGTGAACCTAGAGGCACAAGAAATCGGAATTCGAACCCCCACCTGCAGCCTGGCCCTTCCCCCAACCTCCCAGCCAACCTTCCCGCCCCAGCCACCCCAACATAGCACACGGAGCGCGAACTTCGCGCTGCTAGCGAGCACTGCCGACAGATTGGTCCCTGGGCCACCCACCGCCCCCGGCTCTTCCTTTCCTCAGGGTCCCCGAGGTCGCAGGCGCCACCACCCGGCCCCAGGGCCGCGGCAGGCTGGAGAGGCAGAGCCCGCTCCCTCCCCCAGCCGCGGGCTCGGGGACTCCGGGAAGCGCAGCCCAGGCCTAGGCCGCCCGCGCGGTCTCGGAATTTTCTTTCCCAGGACCTAGGGGCGGAGAAGAGACGTGTGGCAAGGGTCCAGGAGGAACGCGAGTGATCCCTTCCTCAAACCCCCAGCCTGGAGTGAGGGGCGTGGCCGATGAGGACCGAGAGGGGGCCTCAGCTCTGGGTGGCCCGGGGCCGGCTGGCACCCTCGCCAGTGCCTGGGATCTCTGGTGGATCGAGTGGAACCCTTTTATGTCTGCCCTTGTACCTTAGCTCCTCATGGAAGCCAGCTAGGAACCTCCGGGAGCTTCCAACCAAGAAAGCCCCAAGCTGCCTCGACAAGGTTCAGCCGGCTCTTTCCCGGCCTGGGGACGCCATCTGCGGTGGCCTTCGCTGGTCCCGGTCTCGCCAAAGAGCACAAGCCGCAGGAAGAGACAAAAACTCCACCCTTCCCACCCCTGCCAGCCCTGGAATTGGGACCCCTCTTTTGAGTTAGGTTCCTCATCTGTGCCTAGTGGGAGCTGTACTCGCTGAAATATGGCGTCCCTTGTGCTGTAAATGCTCATTCAGGGTACCTCCTACCCCACCTCTTAGAGCTCCATCCTAGGAGAACCACTGGGTCCAGTGAGGGCTTGCCCTGGAAACGCCTCAGCAACTAATTTGCCTAAGGTGGCATCCCTGGAATTCAGTAAAAGTGTGATCAACTGATTGTCTATCTTCAGTCCTCCCTGTGGTTTCTACTCTCCCTCCTCCCACAATTTGCAAAATGGACAAAAACCAAAGGGGAATCTCAGTCCCCCAGGCCTCTTTCACTTTGCTCTCCCTTGAGCTGAAAGGGATCCTGGTACAAGAAAGTTACCAAACATTGCTAGGTTGAGCTGACTGGGGCTAACCTCATGGGCCAGAAGGAATTAGAGGGCACAGTCACACACATGATTTGTTCCCTCCAAGCGGCCGGGCTTGTATATTCTTTCTTGAGCCCGGAAGGAGACAAGTAGTATGGGACTTGTTTGCCAGGCTGAATTATGAGCCCTGAGCCAGCAAGAAATAAAGTTTTCCCAAAGAGCTGGCAGGACTGTGACCCTCAGAAAGTGTGGAGTCTAGTTTCTCTCATTTCTCCAGGCCTTGAGGTGGGAGATTCTGGGGAAGAGAAGCCTAAGCTGGTAGGTTCTTGGAAAGAATAATCTAGTCTCCACCTGAAAAAGACTCAGTCACCACCACTGGTGTGGGGGGGGGGCGGAGGGGGGGCATAACTGGTAGGGTGTTAAATGGATTGCTTCAGATTGCTGTCCTTGGGAAGAAATTTGGGGGCTCTGAATCCTGTTCCTGCTTGGAGTTGCTATGTCCAGTTGTGCCACTTTCCTGAGCTTTAACCAATAAAGTGACCAACTCTCCATTCCCACATGGGAACCACCCTAACAATTCTCCCTGAGGAGAAGGGACTTCACGCAGTGACCCTGGAAAGGGCCGCCCTGCAGGGGCAGTGGACTGGGGCAGTTAGTAGTCCCCTCTGACTGTCAGGTGCCCTCACTGCCCAGGGCCCAGTTTCCACAATGCTGGTGCGTTCCCCTGCGAATATCACGAAAAATTGCAAACTCAGGGTAGCGACCCATTTTTAAGGACACCCGAGCTAGCAGTCTGCGCTGGTGAGTCGCAAAACCTCCTATAATGCGCTTCCATTCCATCTCAATGGACCATCTCAAGGGACTACAAGTCCCCGGAGGCCGAACCAACAACCACGCAGGCCCTGAGCTCTGGACCACTTCCCTAGGCCCACGGTAGACTGCTGTTCACCATGGTGTCCCTTTCTGAGAAGGAAGGAAGGTGGAGTCTAGACCGGCCCTTCCCGCCGAGAGTGAGATCCATTCATAGGATCGTGCAGCAAGCGAGCCGCGCCCTCCACCCCAGCGGATTTAGAAACCGTCGCACTGAGCCCCCACTGTGTCATAAAATATTTTATTGGAAAAAAAAAAAAGTCACCGTCTTCGCAAGAGAAGGGTAGGAGCCCCGGAAACGTCGGGGACCCGGCCTCAGGCCGAGTTGCCGTGTTATCTCCAGCAGTGGTGGCCTGCGCACGGCTGCCCGGTCCCCGACGCGCGGAAGCGGGTGTGTGCCTGGCGGCGTCCGGGCCCGAGGGCCGACCGGAGGCGGGGTAGGGGTGTGGGCAGGGAGCGGGGCGTGAATGCACGTGGAGCGCCGGGCACCGCGGAGCTCCGGAGAAGACAAGTAGCTTCCGCCGCGCTGGTTCGGGCCAGGAGCGCGCTGAGGCCTGGGTTTGGCTTCAGGGTCTGTGTCCTTGCTTGTTTGTCCCCTGATTGTCCGCAAAGTAATAACAGAACGTTTAGGAAGCAAACGCGTGCACGCGGAAGGTCGGCTTGTGGGTTCCCGCGGGCTGAGGTGGTCTTGGGCGGCGCGGAGGTCCCGGGCTCAGCAACCTTTGCGGAGCTCAGTCCTCGCGGTTCCGGTCGCTGGGTTCGCCCGGCACCTCCACCGGCTTCTCCGCCTCCTTGACGCGCTCCTGCTCTGTGAGTTGCTCGCTCGTGGGGATGGAGTTCTTCTTGGGCCGTCCCTTGGGCTTGGTAGGGGACTCCAGGCCACCGCCCTGAAGCACCTGCTCAGAGAATGGTCAGTACCGCGGTGAGATGGGAAGCCAATGGAGGATGCCCCGATGCCCAGCTCCCAGGCGAGACTGAAGGACCCAACTAGGGCATCAAGAGCGACTCCCAGCCCCGGGGAAATGGTAGCCACTTGAGCGCCACTACGGAAGGGCGGCCCCCAAAGTATGGCCTAGGGGTCTGAGGCTTCCAGGACGTGTAAGGGACAAGAAGGTACACTGGCTCCGCTACTGCACACAATAGGACAGAACGGAGTCTCCATGTGCACTAGCTACCAAGGGAATCGGGAAGGTTGGGCAGAGGTCTTGGTGCGGAGGAGGATAGGGGTGCAGCTCTTTGCGGGGCACAGGGGTTTGGCCCAGGAAATCCAGGGCGCGGAAAGCCACCAGGCACACTCACTATTTTTTTCCACTTCATTCTCCGATTCTGATACCACGTCTTCACCTGTAACTGGCTCAGGCCCAGGGACTCAGCAAGATCTATTCTGGAAAGAGCAGGGTGCACCCTCAGCAGGGCAGGCGGCCACCTTCCCACCGCCTGCGGGCCCCACCTTTGCCCCGCACTACCTGTCTGGCGTGGAGAGGTACTTCTGCTTCTCGAAGCGCTTCTCCAAGCCCATCAGCTGCAGCTCGGTGAACACAGTGCGGCTCCGGCGCCCCTTCTTGGCTTTCGTGCCGGGCTCCCCAGGGCCGGCTGCCTCCAGCTTCCCGCGGAGTTGTAGTTCCAGAGGCAGGTGCGGCGCGCCCGCGGCGCCGGGCAGCCCAGGCCCCGCAGCCAGCAACGCCGAGCCCAGCCCGGAACAGCCAAGTGGCGCCAGCGGGAACTTGAACACCGCCGCTTGCTCGGCCTTCAGCACGGCTGCGGGGAGAGAAAGAAGGGAGCCTGGTGAGCTTGATCCTCGTTCTACTGCCTCCAACTCGGCTGCACCCTGCGCCGCAGGGGAAGTTGAACTCAGCCAGGGCCATCCACTCGCAACGAGCGCAAACAGACTTCCACAACGTCGCGCCCCCCCGAGTGTGGAAGGGAGGACCTCTCCCACCCCGTGTTCTACTCTGGCTCCCCAGGCTCCTGCTGCCTCTGAGATTTGGGGCGTCTCAGAAACAAGTTTGCTGCTGTGAGATCAGAGTGTGTCTTTTGTGGAAAAGAGAAACCCCGAAAAAACGACTGAGAGTTAGGAAAGTGGGCGTTTGCCCCAATCAAATCGGCACTGCTGCGTTCGAAAATGAACTTGGTGGAGTGTGGGGATTTGCCCTTGTGTGCGCCCGCACAGTAGTCATGCTGCCGGCGGTGGCCAGGGCCTCATCTGGGATTGGGTTGGGCGATTCCCGGAAATTCCAAAGCACCCTTCGAACCCGAAAATTGTCGTTCTTGTTTTCTCTGATCAGATTCTTTCCTGGGAAGAGGTTTCCATTTTCTTTACTACTAAAATGATTTTTTGCCCGCTTCAAACGAATTATCAACAACAACAGAGCAGATGCAAGTGAAACACAGCCCAGAAGCTGTGTTCCAGGTGAACTTAGAACCAGTATACCGACCCTACTGTTTCCGATGGGGGCGAGCACTGGCTGGAGACCTGCGCGGGGAAGGTGGCTAGTGGGGCTGGGGTCTCCACCAAGCATAGGAGGCCTCCCTTCTCCTTAGGTTTCTCAGTGTGCCGCCCGCTGGAGTCTGCAAGGGCCCCACCAAGATGCGCATAAACATGGGGACGATAGGAGAAAGGGAGAAGGGATTTTTAAGGGAAAAGTGGAAGAGGAGAGGCAGACCCACCCCACCAAAAGAGAATGAAGGAGGCCACCGTGGGTAGAGAGTAAAAAAAAGAAAGGCAAGAAGCAATGGAAGCTGTGGAGTGGGCACAGCAGAATAGGGTTGACCCCCTAGGAAGAAAGAGACAGGGCAGACGCATAAAAGGTCAGACGAGTGGCTCAAAATCGGCGGAGGCCTAGCCAACTGGAAGTGGAAGGGCCAGCCCGAGAATGGCCCATAGTCAGGCCTGTTGCCCACAAGCAAGGCCCAGGCATGTCCGCGCTGTAACCGAGGCCTCGTTTGTCGCCCGCTGGAAGGCATCGGCTCTGGAAGGCTCCCGGCTCGCTTGGGCTAGCGTCAACACACAGCAATCGGAGAAGCGGGCCTCTTCTCCAGAGGTCCAGCTTTCTCGATGTGGGCAGCCACCTCCACTTCTGGTCAACTCTCTTCGGCTAACCTCGGACGTCCGCGGCCCGAGGTCATTTCGATCCGCAGACTGGTCATGTGCCTACGATGAGGATGCGAGTTCTGGTCCCTGGACCCAGCTTTCCACCCAGCGTTGGAGGCCCAAGAGCAGCCACGAAGCGGAGAGCAAACGCCCTCCATGGCCCGGCCTGTGGGCACCAGGCCTGGTTTCTGCGCAGCCGGTTGCCGGCACCCTCCGCTTCCCAGTAGGAGCGCGCGAAGGGACGTGCTCCAGGGCCTGCGCGCTCTGAGCAGTGTCCCGAGTCCGCCCTGGGACCGAGGGGGTCAAGGAGGGTAGGCTCCAGACACCCCCGCGGCGTGGCTCGCTCCCTCCCGCCAAGCGCGATCCGAGGCCTCACGTACCCAGGTGGCTGTGGAAGGGCCGCGCCGCCAGCAGCGCTTGCACGCCGAACTTGAGCAGCTCGCCCGCGGCGGCGGCAGCGGCGGCCGGTGCGGCGCCCTTGGGCCCGGGCGGTTCCGTGAGGATCTCCTCGATCATGAAGCTGCGGTAGCGGTGTGGCCTGTGGTCAGCGCAGCCCTCGGGTGGGCCGAAGCGCGCGGCGCCCGGCTCCCCCGGCCGGTGCATTGTGGCACCAGCGGATGCGCCCCCGGCTCGGCAGAGACAGCGGCTAGGTTCGGGCGCGGGGCCCGCGCGGGGCTCTAGGCCGGCCCGCAGCTCCCGGCGGCGAGCGGGCGCCGGCTCATGCCCCCTCCCCCGCCGGCCGGCCGGGCGGAGGCGCAGGGCGCGGGCGGGGCGCGCGGGGCTCGGCCAGTCGGACCCGGGACTGCGCCCCCGCCCCGCGTCGCCGCGCCTCTAGCCCGGCCAGCCCCGCGTCACCGCCCCGCCCCGCCCGCCCTGCCCCGCCCCGCGCCGCCGCCCCCCACCCCCCTAGGCCGAGCCGGAGGGAGGAACTGGGGAGGGAGGGAGGGAGGAGGAAAAAAGGGAGAGAACCGCGTGAGAGGGGCCGGCGAAGGAGACCAGGGAGAAGGAGCGGAGCGCACACCCAGGAAGGAGAGTCAGCGAGCTCTGGAGACCAGACCCCAAGAAACGCAAGATCGAGGCATCAAGAGTAAGAGGTGAGAGAGGGTCCACAGGGAGAAAGAGAGGGCCACACCAGACAAGAGGGAGTGATGTGAAGGTGTCCGGGTTGCAGCCAAGACGTGCGCAGAGATCGAGAGAGGTGCAAGAGCCAGCGGGCTACGACGTGCCAGAGGGCACAGAGGCAGGCAGGGCAGAGGGTGGGGACAGTAAGGAGATAGGACAGCTAGGAAGGCCCGCGGTCTGGGCGGGGAGTAGGGGGGAGGTAGGGAGCCCCGGAGAGGTCGGGAGGAGGAGGGGCAAAGGCCGCGCAGTTCAGCTGGGAAAGGGGTACTGTGTGCGCAGCTTCCGAGCCTGGGGCCCAGGACCGCGCGCCCCGGGCGGGGTGCAGCACCGGTCAGGAGTGTTACTCACTGAGTGGAGGCACCTGTGCATCACCATCTCTGTCCACCCCCCCCTCAGTTTACTACCGGGTCTAATTTCTGCCTGAAAGGAAAATATTCCCCAGCCGGGATTTGCTTTGCGAATCCGAACGATAAGTGGACTCGCTCTCTTTGCGAGCTGTGGGCTGAGTTATGTCCGTTCAGTTAGAAGAAGAGACAGAAAAAAAGAAAACTTCTTCTTTTGCCAACTTTGGGACATCAAAGAAACCGTTACTGGGTGGAGCTGGGGGCAGAGGACCATCCGGTGAGTCTGAGAGTCTGGCTGCATCTCTGAGCCTCAAAGTTTCCCACAGGGCAGAGTAAACGGTTATCACCTTTTCTAGATCTTTCTCTTCATCATTGAGAGAATATAAACCCAAACCATGGGATTAACAATCCCAAAACTAAACTCAAAATTGAGTTTATCCCTTTGACTCTGCCACTATTGGGCAAGCCACTGCTCCTTTTATTTAGGGCGTCAATTTCTTCACCTGTCTTGAGAAGATATTTACATTTGGCTCCAGGGAGGTTGTGAGGACTAAGGTCAAGGGGGTCCTTGTGCCCACATGTCCTACATCGGAGAATTGTGGGAAAACTCAGTTCCTACAAGCAAGAAGGATGGGGGGTGGGGAATCCTGGGAGACTGGGGGAGGGACTGCTGCTTTTCCCACTGCCCCCTTGGGAGTCACTGGTCCTTTCTCCAGCCTCATCTACCACTGTGCTTTAGTACCTGGTCCCAGCTGATGTGCTGGGTCACTTCTACTTCCTAGGTGAGCTCTACGTGGGGCCTAAGCCCTCACCTCTGTGAAGAAGGGTTTATCACACCCACAGCCATGCCTCTGGTTAAGCTGATATTGTTTTGTCGGTTCCAGCTGCTAGCAGGGAGACCTTGAGGTGGCCCTAGGTCTGTGGCACCTGGAGATTAAGAGATGGACAAGACCCTTTGTCCATTGGGGCTGGACTGGAGACAGAGAATTTCTCAACCCGAGGTTCTGTGGAGACCCAGATCCTGAGCGCCCCATTGCCACTTCTTCCCAGTGGCTGGGTGACTTTCTGAACTTTAAGGTCATCATCAGGACTGATGGAAGATGACTTCCAGTTCTTTCAGATCTCCAAGGTGGGTGGTTCAGTGAGGCAAAATGGCCCTTTGGAAAGGGTGATGGGGGACCCACTGAAAGTAAATACAGCCCATGCTGACTAAGCTTCTTAGTGGAGAGAGTGGGCCATGCCCACTTCTGTTGGCCCAGTAGCCACCTTGTCTGGCACAGGGCAAACAGAGGAAATCCAGAGTCTCCTAGGGGCTCAGGAAGTCCAGATGGGACCACTCCTCATTAGTAGGCTCAGAGAAACCCTCCCCAGATGGGTGTCCAACTTCTCCTTTCTCAGATGGATAGCTGAGGCCAGAACTAGCCCAGGTACCCCAGTGAGTCAGACTAGTTTCCTATGGTCCCCTGTGTCAGTGTGCCAGTGTCGGGCCTTTCTCCTGGCCTCTGCCCTCACCATCTCAGTAGGGCCCACCTGCCTTCTCCTTTTTCTCTCTGCTTCCACAACTTCCCAAGGGGGCATAGCCTGGAATGGTTTCTATGGAGGGTTAGGCCCTAGTCCCCACCCCATCCCCTCACCTCTTGTTTTGACCCTGATAGAATCTATCCAAGTTTGAACCATTTGCACTCCATTCCCATTGCAGCCCTGCAGGTCTCACAGCCTCAAGATAAGTCCTGGGGTCCCAGAACTGAAGACACCGAGATGACTCACCTTGTAGATCAGCTGTCACCAGGCTTATTTTACTGCCAGTCAGCTATCTGGGGTGGCTCCCTGGTCAGGTTGAGGAGAGTGGATCATTTTCAGAACGGAGGCCTCAAGTCTAGGAGTCAAAGACTGGTGCAGCCCAGCCCCCACCCCATCCCACAGGTGTTGCCCCCCAGCTCCTTGGATTCTGGCCAGGGCTATTTCCTGCACCCCCAGGCATGGGGCTGCAGTGAGCATGACCGCTGGGAATGAGGCCCCAAGGCTGGGGGGAAAGTGAGGGGAGGGCTTCAGGGAAAGACAGCTGAGAGCCAGACCGTACCACTGACCACCACCACCACCCACCCACCCGCGTGCCAAGACATCAGTTAGCAGAGCAGCCCCTAATTCGCCCGTCTCAGGACAGTCTCCCCCGGCGAGCGACCCTAAAGCAAATCCTCAGATAAACCCCTTTTAGGCGAAAAACACAAACACACAGCAGCGGAATCTCTGTTCCGTAATCACATAGCATTGGAGGCCAGAAAGGAATTCACAGACGAAAGGGTCCACTCCCCGCGTCGAGGACACCCAAAGAACGGAAGCCCCCACCCTGGGGCGCAGCCGCTGAACCCGACGCCTGGGACCCGCCGGGGCCTCCCGCCACCGCCTCTGCCGCCGCGAAAATCCAGGAAACCATCCGCGCGCTGCGGCGCGCACAGTGGAAAAGGTGATCTCAGCGCTCGCTTGGGGCCAGCCACTCCCCAGCGGCCCAGCAGCGAGGGGCTCCGGGTTGCAGGGGGTCCTCAGCGCCGCCTAGATGCAGGGAGGGGGTCCTCGAGCGCGGGATCGTTCACCTCCCCACGGGTGCTCTGTCCTCAGACCACCCCCCCCAGCTTCAGTTGGTGGCGGCGGGAGGCGGGAAGGGGTCACCTCACTTGCATAACCTCCTTAAGCACTGGTGTGTGGGTTCCAGACCTGACTCCCCTCCAGCTATGCAGTTCTTCCTTCCCCAGCGCCTTCCAGATGGGATTCTGGAATCGTGTGGTGCGCAAAGGAGTCCCTGAAGCATTGTGCAGACGGGGCAGCCCCGAGCCGGGGCAGCCCTGAGCCAGGTCAGCGTCCAGCGTCCTGGGACTTCTGGGTAGGACTGTCCTCGAGCTCTCCCGGAACGACCTTCCGTGTCTTTGCCTGCTCTCTCCCACTTGCAGCGGTTTGTATATTAGCAAAAACGAAGTTGGGGCCAGGGATGGAAGGGAGGTTTCTTCAGAACAGTTATCGCCATTCTCGTGCAATGGACCAAACAGCCACCTGCCAGGGTCCCACATTCCTCCCCCCTCCCCGCCCCGCCAATTGACCGTCGTGGAGCTCTGTGCAGCGCCCTGTTCGCCTAGCAGCCCCGCACGCCGGGGCGTGTTCTCTCCGCAATAACGCGCCTCAAGCTCCCCAAACGGGACTCTTTCCTAGGCTTTTTTTTTTTTTTTCTTTAAGTAAGCAATTCTGATTGCCCCTGATCCCAAGCAGGCTGGCGGTGGCAGTCTGGACCTCAGGTGGACAATGCGGGACAGAGGCCGGGTGGATCCGGCCAGGAACGCACGGTGAGGGAGTGCTGCAGGCTGCACCCTGCGCTTGTCTGGATCCCAGACAGAAGAGATCTGTCCTGCCTTCAAAACAGAAAATCTGGGGAGGTTATAAAAGTACCCCATCCGCATGCTTGCTGGTCACTATCTCCTGGCGACGGCTAAGTCACTTTTCCGTTTGGAGAAGCCATTCTCTGTGACACTTTCTTTTATATAAAAAAAATTTCGACATCAAGCCGGGACTTTCGTTTTGAGTCATTTCAAATCGCGTTTTGAAGACAGCGCCTTTGCACACTCTCTTGCAGCACTGTACCAATTTGATCCTTTGGAATTGGTTACCTTGTCTTTTGTAGGGTTTGTTGTTTTTTAATGTGATGTTTCTTTTGGAAATATAAGTTTAAAACGATACAACCATAGATAGGTAGTAACTGGATCGCACACTCTAAAAGTTGCTGCTTCTTGGAGACCAAAGTCCCCAGGGGGTCAGAGTCCCTAGGCGATCCTCCAGACTCCATTTCACACCCTCCTCTGGCGGGCTTGGAGGGTGGGGGGCGAGAGAGGGGGCGAGTTCTGGGAACCAGCCGCACTCAAAGCCACTCCCAGGGTCGCTGGTTTCAGTGGAGAAGGGTGGAGAGGCCAGCCTGGTGGAGTCAGTCTAGGGGATCCCACTGGCTGCCTCTGATGGCGGAACCTCAGAAAATGTGCCCTGCGCCCTGGTAGCAGAGAGGAAGGAGACATCTGATAGTCTGGGTAGCCCAATGCCGGTGCCTAGCGGCTCTAGCCTTGGAGATACAGAAAGAGCTAAATGCTTACCCCTCCGAGGGACCCTCCTGGCCCCATTTGAGCAGGTGCCAGGCAATCTTCTCACCACTTGGTTCCCACCCTGGGCTTTGCCAAA